TTACCTAAATATGGCTGTACAAATTTCTTTGTACTAAATGTCGTTTTTACACTCCCATTTAAAAAAAAATTCTCTGTTTCTAGTTCTATAGAAGTAGCACTTGTGACTTTTGTATAGAAACTCAAATATTTTTATGCTTTTACAGTACCCTCCATGTTACAAGGACATGAGTTTTTGGATCAGCGATTCATTTACTGAGAACAACCTCTGCGAAGTTGTTAGAGGTATCGCTGGGGATCTTGTGGAGGAGGTATGTTCATTAATATTACATTATTATACCCTTTTCTGGTAAAAGCTTGGTAAGACAGTGATTCATTCACTGCTATGAAAAAACATGGTAGTGACAGTAATTGTATGACTTTTCAAGGCTTGGGACCGGCTATGAAATATATATAGGGCTGTAACATCATGTAAATAAAAAACAAACCTTTGAAGATAATTTGACAAAACGCTAACAAACTAGTGTAACTACTGCAAGGATGTTCAATGTGGATTGATTGCCATATAACTATCATTAGGTTTATTCTTTAAATGTTTCTAGGACCACAAAACTTCCATTATGCTTATCCTCAGCAAGACTATGCCGCCATGCTGAGTTTGCAGTAGAATTAGCTTGATTTTCGTTTCAAATTCAATTTCTAATTTGAGTACCATATGTTTTAGATGACATAATGAATTTGCAGCTTGGTAGTGATGATGATCTTGTAATTGTTGCACAATTTTTGAAGTCTTGAGGTTAACCTTTTTAACAGAAGAAAAGATAGATGTCAGGTTTGCATTATTCGATGTTTACTTTTTTCTATTTCTGGTGCCTAATTACTGTGCTTAAGAGAAGAAAAGTGCACCTATGAAGTTAAGCAATGCACTGTCCTTTCACTTTTACTATATCTAATTCATTAGAAAGGAGCCATATGGTAGAATCTGCTAATTAAAATGTTCTGATTTGTATTAGCCAAAGTATACAATTTTGGAGTTTGTTGATATTCCTCATTTGCTAGCTGAAGTAAAAAATTCCTTTAGGGTGTGTTTGATTACGAGCATGAAATTAGCATGGCAAGAAAATAATTTCTAGGCAATTGATTTTAGGCAATTCAATTGCCTAGAAATTATTTGTATGAAAATTAATTAAATGTGTTTAATTGATTTATTTTTCAACCTAGAAAATACTATATTTATTCATTTTTTATTAGTGGGTAAATGAGAGAGGGGATAGATGAGAGAGAGAAAGAGAGTGAATTATCCAGAAAATAAAAATCACATCTCCCTAAAGAAAATATTTTCCTTGTTTTCAAGAAAGATATGGTCACGTGACCAAAAGTAGGAAAATATTTTTGGTGGAAAAAATTGTCAATCAAATAGCATAAAAGTAAGAATTTAGATGGAAAAAACACATTTTTCATGAAAAATATTGGCAATCAAACGCACCCTTAGTAATTTATTTAATTCACCAAATCATATCAATTTTCTTGCCAGGTGAAATTGATAGACAACTTCACCAACAAGAAAGGAATGACCAGTCATTGTTATAGGATAGCATATCGATCAATGGAGCGTTCTCTCACGGATGAGGAGATAAACGACTTGCAGGTAGACCACTAAGGAAATATAGCAAATAAATTTCTTTACTATGTATTGTGTCTTTGCTTTTGTTCTAATATAAATGAAAATTCATTTATGATTTTGGTTGGCAGTGGAGGGTACGAGAACAAGTCGAGACCAAGTTGCTTGTTGTTCTTAGATGAATTTCTCTTGTACCGATTGCAAGCATTGTTAATTTACACTTCTCATTTTCCAAGTTTCTGGGAGTTGTTACTCTTCTATGTAGGAATAATATTACAATCATGGTACATGTACACTGTAGTTGAAATCCCGGTTTATACTCTTCCATGTGGCCATATCTACATTATTGATTTTGACCACAATCATTACCGTACATATTTCTTCCACATAGAAGATATCAAGGAAAGTATCAACGAGAATGTACATCCAGCATTATTCATAATATTATGTACTCTATATATTTGCAAATTAAAAGTTGAAAAGAAACATAAGTGGATTAATGACATGTTAAAAAGGGACGTTTCAATGGGAGGTTTTAAATCGAATGATCAGATCAGATGCCCATGTTGAAGACTAGAGGTATAGGTTTATAGGGTCAAAGAATAAAGGGTTTGGTCAAAGAATAAAGGGTTTGGTCAAAATGATGGGTTTGTTTGTTTGTACGATCACAACACAAGTTGGGTCCTATTTCACCTGCATTTCACAAGTGTACAATTACTCGTACTTCTGTTAAAATCTAAATTTTAATTGAAGTTCAAGTCAACAATTATATCAATCACATATTTTATGGAATTCACAATTTTTCAATCACATTTCATCGATTTTTATGAAAATTTATTGAAAATCTTATTTTAATCCTCACCAAATAGGGCATAATTGTATTTCACATTGTCAAGTTTAAGCGAAGGAGTGACGATCACTTTATAATACCAAAAGTCAAGCCCATGATGATCCTTAGGAGAGGCTATTTTGAGGCTGGATTATTGAGTATTACAAAGTGGTCGTCACTCCTTTGAAGTTGATTATGCACTTTTTCTTACATGTCTGATTTTAAAGTGAGGTTTATATAAAGAGCAAGCACTCTTATTGACCGAGTAGATTGATGCATGAGGGCTACTAGTAGTAGAGTTTTTGTTACGTGGACTCATCTAGCTGAGAATATGAGTTGTCGTAGCCATAAAATGTTTAAGGTTTGTAATGTAATGATACTAATTTTACCTCAAATCGCGAGACTAAGGTATAGTTTTCGAATTTATAACTAACTTGGCTCTATTTTTACAAGTCAGTTTTGAGGTTGAGTTATGCGGTTGTGCTCATGGTTAAACGTGAGGTGAAGAGTGTACATTCGAGGCCACTTCAAATTTGAACGGGTTACTTTCAATAGAATTTTGATAATGGAATATGTAAAGTCAGTTAAGAGCACGGATTTTTGGGACATTTATTTTGATAAAAGAGATAAAATGTAAGGATTAATCTACTTTCCCAGAAGAAATCATCCGAAATAGTGCTAGAAAGGTAAGTGACGGGGGTGATTGGATGAAAGAGATGATTGGGTTTTAAATTGTTCAATGATAAAATGTCACATGACATTATTCCCCTGTTTGAGCCACATTCTCATTTTCAACCTCAAATTCTTTAATAAAATAATATTTCCATCACATCAATAACTTGTCATTTTTCAACCACATATTCCCCATCACATCACATCAAAAAATGCATTCTCTTCTAAAAAATGTGCATTAAACACACTCTATGTAAACATTTATGTCAAGTATGATGTACACGTAGCCTGATCCAAGTATGATGTACATGGAAGCTTGGTGTTTAAGGAGGTTCCTGATTCCATTGGGGAAATTGGGTCTTATGTGGTTTGTGTGAGGAATGCTAAGGCAGAATTGTATCTATAGAAGACAGGAGATTGTGTTCTGAGGTTTAGGGTTGTAGGGGATGGAGGTGGAGGG